CTTTGAAGCATCTGGATTCAATTAGTGAAAAAGTAGACACCTGCAAGGAAAGTTCATTTATTCTTCAGGAAGGAAACCTTTTGAAGTCCAATGAGGTAAGGCAACCTTCATGATGGATATATCTTCTGCTTGTATCAAGCAGAACTATTCAGTCCTACTACGTTGGGCCAGTTTATTGAAATAAAAGTGCATGTAAAATGCAACCAGATGGACAACCTGGGTGGAGAATTACAAATTAACTTTAGCCTGCTAAAGGTCCAAACGATGTTCATGTAAGCTGGCAAACGATTTACAGAAACTAAACGTTTAATTGGTAAGGAGATTTCTTCGCATTCAGAACTGAGCAATCTGGAGTGAGTCTGACGTGACAGAGGACAATACAAGTCTTTGGTTGAGCAAGACTCCTTTACTTTTCAATCCCATCAAAGATGCTTTCCAAATTCTTATTTCTGAACTTCAGTGACAAAGGTTTATCTATCACTACGATGATTCAGTATTGAACACCTGAAAGCAAGTACAGTTTTCCATAGCACTCCGAATTAAAGAGTTAAAGGGTACATTATTAGCTGATGGGAGAACGAGAAAAAAGACCTAGTTACAGTCCATAATGCAGGAAATTTGTAGCTTTATTTCTAAGAACTGTAAACTAAAGAAGATGGAAAGGGAGGCTAGGGAATGAGCTCGATATCTTTCCGGAATGACAGTGGTGCTGCCAACCAGTGCATTAAAACAACATCAGCGAGTGATTCAGAGAATTAAGTCTAGAAGTACTGTGCTTTACACTGTAAACTAAACACAATGAGACGCCTGGATACCCATTTGCCCCCGCAGTTACCTTGTTGTGAGGTTTTGCATCACGCATCCTGTGATTCAGTAACAGTTTCTGTCGAGCTAAATGTCCTCTGAAAGCTGCCTGAAGCGTAACAACTGCCTAGCATGGAAAGAAATGAGTAGATGTTAGCTCCTTGGAAAGGCAGCAGTTAGAAATTAAAACAAGAGTCCAGAGGGAAGAGTATCATGGGGAAAATAACTTTTCCCTGTGCAGTGGAAACTTTTATGTCTTCACATTTTCTTACGTTTAAGGGACACACACACATCCCCAGCACTTCACAGATACTCTGCTGCAATCCAGAGAATCCTCAGCCTGTGACAACACACAGACACGCACCTCCATGGTTTAAATTCAGGCTGTGAGGTGTTCATGATCGATCCTACCTAACGCAGGTCAGTTCTAGCTGCCCACACTAGCCTGTATTTCACAAACAGAGGAACATGCCCCCATTCCCGTGTTAGATTCTGGGTACCCAGCAGGTTCTGTGATGCTCTGGTACAATCAGAAACCAACCCAAGTCTGGCAGACCATTGTGGTGATTATGTTGAACACAAGTTTTTCCTCTCTACTGAGACATTTTACTGGATCCTAATCAATAAAAAGTGTCTAGATGTAAACCAGCATGTTTGCATCACATGGTTTGAATTTGTTCTAATTTCTGAAAGTACAATTTTTAATATTCTGGAAGAAAAAAAATGTAGGATGCTATGTTGTGCTATTTGAAACAACAGTTTAATCAAAACCTTTGTACAAAATATTTATCAAAAAGTGACTTGGTTTGATAAACTTGTCAATTTCTTCATAACTACTCAGAGACATTTCTCCTTAGCAAAGGCTTCAAATTCCTACTTTAAATCTTTCTGGAGATTCATCACAGTGAAAATGAAAGCATTATTAAAATCATCTAATTTAGAAAAACTTTCCCATCTGTTGGTATCATATTTTGTTTAAAATTTTCAGAAGTGTTGATCTTGCAGAAGGTATCAAGTCGGAAAATTTGTGACAAAAAGGAGTACACTTTGACAAGATATATCAAACAAAATCAGGATGTCAGAAGGAAGATCATGAGCCACTCTGAAGAATAAACATGATCTTGGTACAACAGTTCGTATTACAGTAAAACTTCCTTCAAAATAAAAAAGCTATTTGTTTGTGCAAATTAAACCTGTTTTACTGTTTTGTTGGGAATCATAAACACTCTCACCTCATCCAGAGCAATTTCTTCTTTCTGAAATGAAGAATGTAAATGTTAATGCAATAAATATATACAAGTTTTATCTAATAAAGATTCTCCAAATTTTCCCTAACAGTTAAAACACACAGGAAATACCTGTCCCACCTCCCCCTGAAAACTCAAAAAACAAACTTAAGGAAAAAAAAACCCTTTTCATCTTTGAAAGATGTGTCGATTGTTCTTTTGTCTTTAGTTTCCCAAGAAGCAATTACAAGACCCACCTCACATCATATGTCCTATATGTGGAAAAAGCAGCATTATGTTGTTGCCCAAAGAACAAAATTTAAGGTTAATGCATTTTCTCTTGGTCGTTTTGTCTTAGTTGAGTGTAACTCAATACATGAAATTTCCTGTATTGTTTGGAGGATTTCTGCAAGGGGAATTTAACTTCTCAGTCATATCTCCAGGGAGGCAACAGCAGCAATGCTGCTACAAGCTCTGCGATCCTTCCTTCATTTTTCTGCTCACCCAGACTCCCCTGTTCAGAAACTGGCTATCTTGCAAAAGAAACACAGGGTTCTAGGGAGGAAAGGCAAAAGAAGCAGCAGGGAGGAGTTGAAAAAAGCATTGGAAGAGAACATAGTGGTAAGGAATCATACTAGGAAGCACTGCTGCAGTTCCTGGAGGCCAGCAGCAGCTTACTGTCGATGCTAAAACAAGAGTAAGATTCAGAGGGGGATGTCCTCATTGTTCCCCGATAGGGGAATCTCACCTTGTTTTGGTGCATCTTCCAGTGTCTCTGGATGATTTTGGCTGCTTGTTCCTTCCTGTGATCTTCTTTGCCTTGAACCATGCAGACTGGTGACGACTGTGAAGGAGAATTCTTAAGTTAGTATCGGAAAGACAGAAGCTGGTATTCTATGAGGGAAACGGGTTACAAATGACTCAGAAATCAGCACCTGAGTTAAGTGTTCATCCTGCCTGCAGGGCGGAAGGAAGTTAAAGAGGAAACTCTTAGTTCTGAATACTGCACATGTTCAAACTCATCACCTAGATGACTTTTACAGTGAAACACATTCTTGTTCCCATTTTAGCTGTTAGCAGAGCATGGGAATGGAAAGGTTTTCCTTTACACATACTCTTATTTTTCCATGCATTGCTAAAGCCATAAGAACTCCAACAGTGGAACTCACTGCTTTGTTGATCAGAAACAGTTTGTATGTTATCGACAGACTGAGAACAAATGTCATGACACCTAATTTTGCAATTTTTCTCCAGGAAAGACTAGTAACCATGGAACTATCTAATGTCTCATCCTGGCAGCTGTGGACCCATAATCATCTGTTTAAGCTTACTGATGAGTTGGCCATCATATGACACAGACAGGACGGAGAGCTTGTGTAAATTGGCATAACTACTCTTCTATCTTGAAGAAATTAATTAGAAGAAAAAGAAAGGAACCAAGAACAAAACAAGATTTTGTTCCAGTTATTTCCTCTGAGGTGTTGTTGCGTATTCCACCTCTCACCATCTGATCTTTTTGATCCCTAATTAACCCATACTAATTGTCATACTTCACTTGCCAAACAAAAGTTGACTGCAATTTTAAAAGACTAATTTAATTTGTTGTTGTAAAATTTTAAGTAGAGGAACAAGAGATTTTATAGACTCTGAAAAAACCCTCTCGATTCTCTGAAAAGGATTTATTTATAACCTAAAAATGCTGAGTTACAGGCTTAAGTTTAGCAAATGGATCGTGTTATATTAAAAATGACAACCTACTATTAAAATGAAAAATTGGTAGGAACTTAGCGATAATTACAAATAATGGGAACATTTCAATAAATGGATGGTAACTGGCCAAGAATATATATAGTCTGCAGAGCAAAAAAGGAGCTGTTTATTGGCTGTTTTTAAAGACTCAAGTTATTTGGTATTCAAAAGATCATCTAGCATCCATCAGCCTATAACACACAGAAAAGAATCCAAGGAATTGCACAGTATATCAAAAACCAGCACCCTCTTAAGCTAGTGGACATTTTTATTCATATTTTTTACTGCCTGTATTTCAGGGTCTATTTATTTTTAATTACAAATGATCAAAATCCCCAGCAATGATTTTCAACTAGTTTTTAGTGAAATGAGACCAAAATGACCACACTGCATCTGAAAAAGCATGTCTGTCGGTGCCCATTCATCTCTACTGGCCAGTTACAACATTTGGCAGAAGGAAGGAAGATTGCAAAGATACCAAATTCAGCTGTATTTCACAAAAAACTCCTAACTGATTACAGAGTCCCATTTAAGACTGTCCAGGATTAACAGACGCACAAATATATTTATTTGTGCACCAGAAAATCGAGAAAGACGAGGTTATGAATACCTCAACTCTAGAAAAACTTCAGTTCCAAGGGGACAAGGGTTTATTTTATTGCATTGACATCTTCCCTAATTCTTTACTCAAATACAGTGGAATTAAAAACCTCTCAATTGTCACAATGACGAGTGCTCTACGTCCTGTAAACCCTCCTATGAAAGGGTACCCCACTTCCATCCAAACAGAAAGGCTAAGGAATGTTTTCTGACTGGACAGCACATGTGCTCTGATAACCTGACCAGCATAAAAATCATTGAAAAGGTTTTTTGTGTTTTGCCAGTCTGCCAGCGAACACATTTACCTATGTCTCTATCTTTTAACTGTCAAATCCTACAAGACCTCCCTCCCTCTACAAAACTGGACTGCAATTAGCTAATGGATCGAGATGTTATAAGAAGATATAAGCAAAGCCACAAATGTCTGTCTTATTTTTAAAAAAAGGAAAAAATCCCAAACACTTAAAAGGGTAAGCTTTTTGCAACATTCCACTGAATAAGAAAAAAGCAATGGTGAGGCAGATAATCACTAAAGTAACAGCTCCAAAAAAACCCCAAGATGCAGTGGTAATTATTGAAACAACTTATCAACAAACGCTGAGAATTAATCATCATTCGGAATCTCTCTGAACAGACACAACTAGCAGCTATTTAGACTTTCAGCTCAATTTGCAATATATTAGTTAGACACAAGTGGGGGAAAAAAATAATCAAACAAAAACATGTGCCTGTACCTTATTAAGATTTTCCATTGTATCTTCTGCCATTTGTCTCTTCCCTTCCTCCAATTTTGACTCCAATTTCCTTGCTTTCTGTGTCAGGTCCTGGATTTCCTCACTATAGTTGGGAAAGCAAAGATAGCTAGAAATTTTCTGTTGTTCCAGCTTTGAAAATACCAAACTCATTTCATAAAGTTTGGTTGCTTTATTTTTTTTAAGGCCGAAGTGGGAAGCTGCTCAGGATAACACAATACATATTCTCACAGTAACAGACATGTAACATCAATTTTCCAATTGTGATAGCATAGTCTTACGTTAAAATTAACAAGCACCAAGGTTACAATGGCACCCCCTTAATACTATTAATAATGCATCTAGATCTGCCACGGTTTCATACTTGTCAAAGTCCTTTCTTACAAAGCAATAATGAAATCAATTTTTCTTGACACCCTTGCACAGGATTATCATCAACAGTTACACAGAAAACACGAAGTAAGCGTAATGACATCTTGGCAATGGTCAAAAAGCACAAACTAAGGTGAGGTAAAGATACAACAGTTTTTTCTTAGAGAAAAACATGTCTCTGAGCCCAACATGGCAGCTTTCTTTTTCCATTTATCTTATTAATTTTTATTATAATTTAATTCTTATTTTTACTACACTTCTTAGACTTCCACTTCCTCTAAAACCACTCTGTAAAATTCTTCTCCTAGTAACTTACTCCATTGCTCCAAAACAGTTCTACTTAAATGAATTCCCAGCTTCCCACAGTTCAGATGAAATCCTATTCTTCTGAGCCACTTCGAAAGAGAATTACACTTTAACAGATTTTTTTTTTGGTTCTGAAAGGACCTACTAATACAAAATGTGATACCTTAAAGTCTGCTCTTCTGTACTCTTTTCTTCCATCTTACTCTGCCACTTCTGCAGCTTCAGCTCCACTTCAGCCTTAGCCTGCATTAACTGCTTGATATCTAATCTACAAAGGTATAAGGAAACGTAAGTAATACTTAAGACATTCATACTTCAACAAAGTAATTATTTTTTGTTTAAGCTTCTAAATAAAATAGGGTTTCTCAGATTTGTAAAGTAACTAAATGTTGAATTTTTCCTTTTAAACAAAACAAAATACAAGCATACGTAGCTCAGAAGCAAAAAGCCTCTTCCCGTGCCCTCACTACACGTTTTTCATCAGAGGTGAGCTGGCAGAGGAGGCAGAGCATCTGACCAACACCACCCACCTGTGGGCACATCTCTGCGCACGATCAGATTAACCTGCCTACCCTTATGCACTGACAGCAAACGAGCCCAGGCAAGACAATCTGCAATTCAATTGCTTACTGGGAGAAAAGGAGTCACAGTGCATCTTATGGCAGAAGGCAGGCTTGTATTATGGAGAAAGCAGCAGATCAGCACAAAACATGTTGAACAAACACGACTAATTTTTACAGCTAAATACTTACAAGAAGTGCTGCCTAAAGTGACATATTCACAGGCTTTTAGGTGTGGTTGGAAAAAAAAATGTCTTGAAAAATGTGATAGAAACAAGTAGAAATTCTCATTTTCCATCCTCTCACTGACTTTTTTTTTCTGCAATGTAATTTTACCACACCAGTAGGACTAGAAGATGCTTTTGAAATCAAAGTTGAAGGGACCCTCAAAATCTGTTTTCTTGCTGAAAACGTGAAGGAGTTATTACATCGTTTCATAACATGACAGGAGATAACTAAATAATTCACACCTAAAAAAGAACATAATCTCAGACAAGACTTGTGCTTACTCTTTGCTGAGTAGGAGATTTTGAAGTGCCTTCCTATCACTCTTCAGTTTCTTCACCAGCCCTTGGAGGCGACGACACTCCTCAACATGGTCTACCTGTTGAGAGCCTGGATGATCCAGGTCTATAGAATGTGAAGATGACACAGCGAGTAACTGTGATGACTCACTATCTGCTGATGACACCCTGGTGTTCTCCATGGCATATACTTTCTAAAGAGGATAAATTTATAAAAAAAACACAAAAGAAAAGAAGAAAATTAAATTTAGCATAAAATTATTCTATTTAGGCTATGAGAAAAGATCAAATGGAAGTTAATTCTAAAACGTGCATCTATATGTAACAAGCATGAGAAAAGAAAAAAGGGAGGAAGGGCACATGGTACAGGCACCAGTTTACATGTATGAGTCAGAACACACAAGGCTGATAACTGAAGGACTACATGCCATGAGCACAAGCCAGCAGTTTTGCATTTTCTGCTCAAAGAGAGGTAAGATGGACACATGATTACGATCACTTACTTTTTCGAGTTCCGAAATCCGCCTCACCAGCCTCTGTCTGCTCCACTCACTATAATCTAAATACAGTAACAAAGCTTTAAACATGAAACTATATCAGTGAGTCAACAGTTTTCTTGCTTTTTGAAACTTCTGTCCATACAGAAAGACCATCTAGAGACCTCTGAACCCCAACTTCAAATATGCAGTAATGAAAAAATGAGAACGGTCTTAGAATATCTGACTTCTACACAATTAGCTCAGAAATCAATCTAAACCATTCACATTCATCAGTTTTCAACAACTCAAAAAACAGTTTTCCAGTAAAATGTTACATCTTTAAGTGATTCCAGTCCAGAATTCTCAGGGATAATAATAAAGGAAACCCAGGTCTGACTGTAGCAGCATATCCAGAAGTCAGAAAGAAATTCTTGTAAGAAACTTCTCATTTCAAATTTTGCCCCTCCTGAATCATCTTTGTAGTAACTCCCTTATTTCTACCACTGCAGGCTCCTACTCTCAAACATATCTTTCAAATGTACCTAGCTCCCTTTCCCCATGTTCCCCTACTCCTTAGCACATACTTTTTGTCTTACTGGAAGGAGGAGAACTGCTCAGTACATGATCTAGGTCTTCTTTTAGTCTCCGATTCTCATTCTGCAATTCCTTGATGTTCCTGGATAATCTCAGGACAGCAGCATTCAGTGTCTTTAGTCGGTTTTGAGTATCTCTGCCCTCTGTACTTGGAAACAGGGTCAAAACCAGAAAGTTAACTTAAAAGCAGAGAACAAAGCAGCAGCATTGAAAAGAGCTGAACAGCCTCGCTATTTGAGTCAGCTGGCTAAGTTAACTGTCTCCGCTGCCCCCCGATAGCATCTCTCAACATTTTCACTTGAGGAGTTACCTATTCTTTTAGGAAAAAACACGCAAAGACCATCTTGCTCAACGCTTTCACAACTGTTTTAATTTGTGTCAAAGAGAGAAGATACTTTGAAGATTCATTTATTACTTTTACTTCCTCCCCTACTCTGTTTCATTAACGCATAACAAAGGTGCATGTATGAGCTTTACTTACTTGGTTTTCTATTTGTTTTGTTAAACAGCCTTATAATGCTTTCCCAGTGCTCTATTGAGGACTGATTTATAAACACTTATCTTCAGCCAACTGGAAAACTCCTTCAAAACAACTGCTGAGCACAGAAAGCTAACCTGCGTGCTCTGAACTGCTTGCTTTCACTTAAAACACGCATTGAGATTGTGAGAGAGGGCTATACATGGATGGAATAACTTCCAAATAAATCCAACACACAAGTGTATTTTCAGATAACTGTGAGTGCTGCTTTGATGTAAAATAAACTATTTCCGCGAAAGCAAACCCCAGGGAAATTCCTTTCTTCATTTAAGATACATTTCAATCAATGAGAGATTTGAAACAGATTTGAAGAACACAGCTAACATGGATGAGATGGGAATAACAGACACCAGAAAAGGGAAAGCCTGCTATGTGGTAAAACTGGTTTAAATATATTACAGTGATTTTGCCTTTTTAATTTTTCCAATAAAAAGGGAAGAAATCTCAGCTTCTAGATGCCCGAAGTTGTAAAGTTTGTCCATGAAACGGATTTCTAGTGAGGTGAAACACTTGTTCTTTATTGTTATGAGAAAATTCTTAAACACTTAGTCCAGACCTTTGTTTCCAGAAGTAACTGATGGACCTACTTTTGGACAAATACCACTGCCATCGACAGTCACTTAACAGTTTGTGAAGGAACCTTAGATCCCATTGACTGGAATAATTACAAGGTAAAAGGAGAGACAGTCTGCAATTAGCATATCAGAGTGAAAAGCTGAATCTAATTTACCTCTTGAAAATTAAAAGGAAATGAAGCCATGAAAACAGACAAACAAGGCTGTCCAGATGTCATGGATGACTATTCATAAAGCTGTCCCAGGCAGAAGGAAAACACACCCAAACCAATGAAAAACAACGCACCACCAAATCTGGGAAGTGACAGAAATTACAGAAATCATAACTGTATCCCTGAGTGCCATTATTTTAGGCTCATCAAAACCTAAATGAAAGAATTGCAGACCATTTTGAGGACTTGAAAGGTTGCCTGGTTTCTAGCTACAATTGGATACTACAGCTTCACATATAATCACATTTCAGCATTAACACTGAAAAAGAGGAGCTAAATCCCATTCACTTCAGACAAAAATTATATAGACAAGCATCACGAAAGAAACACTCTCCTACAACTCTATGTGCCAGAGTCCTGACCTTCAACATCATTTATTATTCTAGCACTCAGCCTCTCAAGTAGAGACTGACAGTCACATAATGGTGAGAGACTGCCCTGACCACTGCTTTTCCAAGCTATGAATCAATGAGGACAAGGGAGAGACCTGATGACTCATTTTCACCTGTAAATAAATTAGGTGTGATGGCTTACAGCCTCGAGAGGCTACTCACTGCACGCCTGAGCCATAAGAGATGAATTTTTTTTTTTTTAAACAGTGACAAAACAAATTGCAGTTTTCAATCCACAAGAGACAGTAAATTAGGGAAACACAAGTAGCACACATAACGATCCATAAAAAGTTTATATGTTTCTATCAGCCTAAATAATTACACCCAAAATTAAGATAGTTGCCTGTACTTAACACTAGGAGGGCAAACATATTTTGAAGTGGTGTGGTAAGAAATCTTCCTATCCCACAAGACTCTATTACCCTCTTCTCAACTGACACTCACTTACACAGATGCTTTTACTTTGCTCTCTTAGTGGAGCTTTGTCACTTGCCTTTGTGCTTTGATTTTTATTTCCTCTATAGGCTGTTTATCCTCACCACCATCTACGCACCTGCACACAAGTGACAAGCACTAGTGCACACTTCTCTGACAGTGTCTTACTAGTGCCGCTCATAGATGTCTCACAAAAGCTACCCTAACCTGTGGATCTGTCTCTCTGTACCACAGGAAAAAAATGTTTACTCCAAAATTCCTTCTTTGCAGCAAACACCCTACAGCAAGATGCAGAATTGACTCAAGAGTAAAATACCAAACATCTAATGAGTTTGTTTCAACCACCAGTGATGTCAGAATAGCTGTGATAACAGGGAAAGATGGACTTTATTTAACAGAGATAAATTTTCAGAGCTTTCATGTACTTTTGAAATAGCTCTAGTATTTTTTCCACATCCATAAGATGATCTATCTACAAGAAATGTGACATATGCCAAAAAAGAAAAAAAAAAAAGACACATGCCAAGGCTGTAAAGTCAACCAAAGCAGTGCCAAAAAGCAAATCCAGCAATTTAAATGACAAAATGAACTGTTCCCAGGTAGTTGGTTTCCATCAGTTAAAGTAGCAGTATATGAGTGATACATCAAACACATATATGCAAATATTTGCCTCAAAAGAATTAAACATACTTTTTCCTCATAGTCTCAGATTTTGCCAGGAGGAGCTGGAGACGATGAACCTGTGAAATATGAAATACAGATTCCATTAAGGAGCCAGCTGTGGAAGCTGACATTGCTAATGCAACACACTGGTCCATTAGGTGGAACTCAGAACAAGACTCTCTGGGTACTAGCAGGGGCAATGATGCCATCACTGAAAATCAGGCTACTGTTACATTTGCTTTCATCTGGACACCACGCTTATAGATGCACATTAGTTTCTTTATTCCCGCTTTTTGGTTAACACACAACTTATTGAAGGAAAAAAGGTTCTTCAGTACATGTATTTGGAGCTATGATAACATTCATGAAAATCTGGTTCCAGTGACAAGCTCAGCTCAGCCGTAAGAAACCCAACTAAAACATTCCATTTATACTTTGACTCAACAACTGAACACCTTCCTCTCCTGTACGCACATGGAAGGACCTGTCAGACATACCTCTTCATAGTAGGTTTCCATAGCTATCCTCATTTCTTCCAAAGTCGTGGTCTTTGTGTCTGCCTGGAATTTGCTGAAAATAGAGTAATACAAAAAAAAATAACTCAGACCAGCAAAGATGCTGCAAAACCTGTTGGTTTACAGTTTCTGGGTGGGTGGTTTATAATTGCTAATGTGTTCTCAGAGTTCATTAAGACATGTTGAAGAACAGAAGAACACAGATGAAAAGTAACATGGATTTCAAATTTCCTTTATTATCTCATCCAGTACAAGCTTCTGCCCTGCCAAAGTCATACTTAATAGTGTTGTCTTTCTCCTTGCACTGTTGTTCTAGCTCGAGAATCTTCTGCTTTAATCCACTAACCACCTGCAGAAAGAACAAAGAACTTGTGAACCCTAGAATAATCCATCTCTTCACAAAAGTTCCATTTCTCCATAATCTTGCCCTGTCTTTATAAATCGTACCTAACCAGAAATACTTACTCCATGTCTGCTCCCCCATGACAAAGAGAACACTAAATGAAATCAGATCCCTAACTTCTATCTGTGGTAACATAACCAACTTAATAATATTTATACACTATCATTAAATAAAAACAACTCTGCCCATTACCCTGCTAAATTCAAAGCAGCAAATAATAGAGAGAATACTCCCTAAACAGGCTCAAGACAGTAACAAAGGTGGCTCCCTAAAATAATGTTAATCCCAGATCTTTGTTACTGGTTTCTTATTGGACTAGAGAAATAACTGTTACATGATTCCCTCATTTCTTTTTCTTACGTTACTGTATTTTTTTTAATCAGCAGCGTTTCAGCTTGGCAAGAGAAAAAGAGAAAAACGAAAGCAAAAGGTAATGAAGAAACTATTACCCATCCATTATCAGTCTTCTTTTCTGACAAAGCTCGGGCCAGCTCTGAGCCCTGCAAGCAAAGACAGACAAAGCAAGTGACCAAGCTTGCTACTTTATCTACTGCCAGCTCTTTCCACAGCATTTTCTAATCTACTCATTTCCACAGTCATTTCACAGTTCAATAGCTTAAATTCTGAAGTCCCTACGCTGATTGTTTTGTGTTAGCACACTTCTCCAAAAACATAAATCTGCACGTAGAAAACAACAGCCACAGGAATTCAGTGAAATTCAGGTCTTCTAACTGAGCAACAAGGCTCATCTTTTGCTTCCTGGCTCAGGTTCTCAGGACTGCATGCATCAGTCACCATGCAAGAGGTTAACTGCCTTCTACTCTCAGGCAAAATATTCAGAAAGCAGGCTGCTAAATAAACAGCATTTTAATTTTACCTTTAGAAATTAAAAGTATCTTTGCTAAGTAAACTGCACAGCACGGCATGATCCTCCTTTCAACTGAGCTGGAATGGTGAGCTGAGGTACACAAACCAGAAATCCCTTCACACCAACCAACCACCTCTCATACTCAAGCTCATCACTCCTAGGAGCCAACACACTACAGACTCCCGAAATCTAGAGAGAAGGTGGTCACTCTGCACAGCACTCTTTTGCCCTACTTTTATCCCCCACAAGACATAGTCACCCTGGAAGGATCCAACAGTTGTTCTATCTGTTTATTCTTTCTATTATTCTCTTCTTCTAGTCGACGTAGCTTAGTTTTCATTCGATCTCCCTCATTTTTCTGAGCTTGTATCGTCTAAAAGAGGGGAGAAAAATCATAGGCACATTTCAGAAATAGAAACACACTGAGTTTCACATGGAAGCATGTTTTGATGTCAATAACAATCCAATTACGATGGTCAGGATGAAGCAAAAGAAAAAAAAACAACAGAGACCATCACACTGGACCAGAGCTGACAGTTAGGGAGGTGACAGGGCAAAGATAAATGGAAAAGGTTTAACAGAAAGACAATCTTACACAAATGATCTACAACAGCCACGATACTTGTCTATAGGTATCCCTAGTGTTCAACATGCCCAGTCCTCATCTTTCATACACTGCAATGAACTCAACTGACAAATTGTTAAAACGTGGAGGGGGAGGAGAAAAGAAAAAAAAAAAAAAAAAAGAAGTGGAGGGACAAAGAAACCAAATGCAATGAACCTTTTCAGTGTCCAGCTAGGGCCATGGCTGGGATTCAGGACTGGGTATACTTCAAGGCTTCCACATCCAGTACTCAGAAGTATCTATCACACCATAAGAACAATGAAATTGCCTTAAACAGACACAAGTTTAGTTTAGCCTTACATTACAAATGCAAAAAAATTTGGTGGATGTCCCAGTTGTAGCAAGCAAAGTATTCTGAACCAACAAGGCCTGGACATCTACAGGTGCATGGAGTGACCCTACGACTTTCTGTGTAAGTATGAGAGAGACTGTACCTTTTTCAATTCTATGATTTCATCATACATATCTTCTTTTTCTTTGTAGTCAGGAGTTCCAGGAATGTAGCCTACAGAAAAAAGAACGTGAAATAAGCAGATCAGAAAGGTATTTTTAACTAACCAGAAATCTTACAGTTAAAGGAAAATACCTAGAACTAGGCTTGTTTTTTTTAAGAACAAAAATCAGTGAGGAAATTAATTTTAGAAATGGAGGTGAAATGAAGATGTTACTATATGAAACTTCTGCCAGCTTTTACAGCAAATTTCACCTAATTACTTCTCTCTGGTGCTAGATTAAAACATTCATCTCAAGAAAGATATACACTTCAAAGATGACTGCGGTCTTCTCATCCCAACAAATCACTTATTTACAAAAGATTTCTAAAAGATGTCCAGAATAGATTTTTCTATTTATCCCTAGCATGTAAAAGTCTATCCTCTTTCAGTTGCCAGAAACCGCGTTATCAGTAACAGTATAGGTGTCATTTTAAATGGAAGTGGGATTTTTAACTTTACAGTTCTCCTTTAAGAAGAGCAGGGTAAAAGTTTTACATTTTGCTCTTCTCATAAAACTCAGTTGATTTTAATATCACAACCACACAATGAAACACTTTCCAGACAAGACGTAAAAGGAGTCAATTACATCGAATTTCAGGCAAGCAGATGGTTTCTATCAATGGTTCCTAAACCATGTTTTGCAAAGTCACAATAAATTGTCTGCAGCTGGCTCACTGAACCATATTATATCTGCAAGGTTTTCAGCTGCAAACGCATGGCAATTTGCAAAAAGTTCTGAAAGCTACTAGTGATTCACTGCTCAAAAGAATTTGGAAAGCCCTGTTTTATCCAATCTAGAAATCTGAAAAAGTATCCCAGGGAGGACATTTCGACACATATATTTTAAGACAGGTTAAACTGAAACCACTCTGGCTTTATTAAAACCAAGATCTCGAGCAATGCATGTTTTTACATGGAAAAAAGATCATAAACTTTTATCTACCACACAGTTACACAGTTTACCATTACTAGAAGAACGAGAATGTTTTGGCTTCTTCATTCCTAGAGCTTCCTTCAAATACTCGGGAGTGCTACTAGAAACATTAGTTCTCATATGCCCTACGTCAACATTTGATTTCAGAGGATGGCTCATTCCTGCCAACAGAAATGGAACAAAAATGCAAAAATCAGGGATAATTGTGAATTCAACGCGTGGATTTATTCTGAGCAAATGCAACATAGAAAGCTCCAGATGCTGCTAATTATTCCCTCTATAAATTCCAATGCTGTTAATTATTCCCTCTATAAATTCCAATGCTCAAGATCAGATAGGTCCAACCACTCAGATAATAGTGAAAGGACTGCCTATGTAGCCTGTAATCAAACACAAATCTATTTTTTAAGAGTTCATATGTTAAGCTGTCCACAACACTGAGTTTTATCCACTTAAGCAGATGAAGTTTCTGTACTAATACCTTGTTTCAGCGATCCCAGCCACATCTGCCTCGGGGTTTTTACAGCCCCACTCTCGAGACGTGCACTGCCTGTTCCCTGCAGAGACTGCCAAGCTGCAGCTTTTTTAGGATACAGTTGTGTGCTAGAGCTGTATGGAGACTCTAAAACAAAGAAAATACCTCAGTGTTGCTTTAAAAAGCTCAAAGTCACAAAAACTCTTGTGTCTTGTGCTTCAAGGTTCCCAGACACAGTCCTATTACTTATAAAACCAGAATTTAACAGCATACTACATACTGGTTTACATGGAGCAATAGGACATTCACCCAAAAAAATATTCATGATAAAGAAAAAATCCAATTCCAAAAAAATGAAGAGGCTTAGAAAGAGGCATAGTGACGGTAATGTGACTCAAGGCATGCAGAAATATTTACATGTACAGTATGGACAGGTGTTCTTCAGATACCTGCACGTCTAAATTCATACATTAAACTGACCTTTCAGTAAACGTACACACAATTGTCCTACCAATGAGAAAAATACGTATGGCTCACCAGAAGTAACTCTATAGCTACTAATTCACTGGCAATTGCCTTGCAGTAATCAAACAGAACTGGTCTGATGCAACTGCTGGTAGCCCCTCCCATTACTGCTTCAGGTAGGGCAGTCAGGTTCAAATCCTGCCACTAATTCCACCTCAAATTACTAGTATGGATGTGCACTGTATGGGCTAACGCGTTCAAATTACCAAGTACACACTTGCAAGAAGCAACGTCACAAACATTTAATTTGAGGTAAAGTATTCTTTGAAACCTTCATTGGAAGTATAAAAAGGAAGGTAAATGGAAAAGTAGAGTAAGAAATATGAACCCCAGAAAAAAGGACAAAAACCTACATTAAAACTGCAGATCTAACAACAACATCGTACTTCTAAGGTCACATGAGAAAAAAACCCAACACAACAACAAATGAAACAGAATGTTTTAATCTACAATCCTAGGTATCTATGGATGGTAGGTTGACACAGCAAGTATCAGCATTTCTCCAAAAAGATAAAAAGGAATTCAGAATGCTTGCCATTAGAAGGGATAACATGAGAAGAAAGCAGTTTATGTGAAATTACATATACAGAATTACAAATAACCCACAAACTTCAATGTTTACCCTATAAAAGTCTAACTTCACAGGTTACAGAACAAATCTCAAATAAGTGTACTTGGCACACACCAATGAACAACTCTAAAGAGAATAGTGAGATGTTCTTTCAAGTAAATCTTCTAGTTCCTGTGTCTTGCAAACCAATCTTGTTCTGCAATAACAGAAGAAGAAGAAAAAATTTTGGAACACTTACTTGGTGACTTTGGAGGTTTGTGAAAAATTTTCTTCTTTAACTTCTGGAAGAGAAAAATGTTTTTTTATGTATTTAAAATATTCCACTCTTCAAAGATCTCAGCATATAATCTCAAAATTGGCTTCAATCTTCACTTTGCACGAAGAGCACTTGTTCTTACAACACAAAACCTTCTGCGTAGAAGAACAGTACCATTAAGTACAAGCAGATTTGGCCACAGCAATGGCCACCAGAACTAAGGTGGTGCCTACTGAACTTTCATGCTACGGATAAAAAGTAGTCTCTTCATGCTCAGAACACTAAGACCTTCCCCATTGGTATAAAATATGAGTAGCAGCAAATTCAAGATGATCACAGAGTAGAGGCTGATCTGTAGGACCATTTAACTAAAGGAAAAGTTATTCAATTCCATTAAAATTCTCTAAAAGAATTACTTGATAGAATAG